TTTCTAAAAACTCTCAAATGACAAAGCTGAGTAAGAGCAGTAAATAGTGAAAGTTGTAAATAAATTTAGAGTATATTAGTTCTTTTTCCTAGCATTACAGTCTTGTCTATAGAATAACAAAAATATTTTAAATATATAGAATTTTATTTGTTCACCTTATCTTTTTAGCACATAGTTGAGGAAAATGGAGTAAGATCTATCTTTATAGCAGAAGCAGAGTAGGAAGAGTTTATACTGAGGCAGAAGCTTTGATGCCATTTAATTAGCCATGTCACCAGGTGTCTAAACTATAGGTTCTTTATTTGTGAAGGCGTTAGACTAATGAGCTTTAAGGTCTTATCAGGTCCAAAATATATGATTCTTTGATTATAGTTTCTGTTTCTTCTTTTTGCCACTCAGAACAATGCATTGGAACTAAGCAAAACTATAAGTAGTTCTTCTCAGTTGAATACCAAGTTAGTATTAATAGAATTGTTCTGAGTTTTGTTAATATTCTTCATTGAGTACTGATAGAATAAGCCCCTTTTGGGTTTCTGGCCTCCTAAATTAAAATAAGAAAGAATGAGCAAACAAAGTTTTACCTGTGCATATGAGATTTCACTCTTATTATTAGCAAGGCAAAGTGATTTCTTGAGCAGTTCAATGAATTCATTCAGCATATGTTTATTGAATGTCTGTTATGTGCAAGACACAGTGCTTGGAATTAGGGATACAAGAAACTTCCCTGTCCTTAAGGAGTATTATGGGAGGTGCTAACCTATGAATACAGACAGCTATGGAATTTTTAAGACAATTTATCCTTAGTATTTTGAAACCTAATTACTTTGAGATTTGAAAGAAATGTTTCCTTCAATAAAAGTAACATACAGAAATTAACTTCAGACACAAGACTGATACCCATTTATTCTCTGAAGCATCAATTCTGGTGACGATGGTAGTAGACTATGAAATCAGAGGAAATGCCATGTGTTGTCTATGTGCATCGAGAGTATGCACTGCCATTCTCATGTCTGATGGTTGGTTGTCTTACAGCCCTTGGACATACCGGATGGCCGGAGAGCCCCCCTCCCTGCTCACTACCGGAGCAGCAGCACTCGCAGCATCGACACTCAGACGCCCTCTGTGCAGGAGCGCAGCAGTAGCTGCAGCAGCCATTCACCCTGTGTCTCTCCCTTTTGTCCCCCGGAATCCCAGGATGGTAGCCCTTGCTCAACAGAAGACCTGCTCTATGATCGTGATAAAGGTAAGAATGAAGCCACCCACTTAGATAGAGGGTTTGTCGTTGGGCCTTGCTCATTATGCTTTCTTTGTCGTAGACCATTGCATCATTTTTTTTTCTTTTGTTGAATGCTGAGATTGTAAAGGCTTGGTTAATCTAGGTTTGTTTGTTCATTGGTTTCACATATCCCCTTCTTTGTGACTCTTACAAACATCTTCCATAAAATGTGTCAGAGAAGCACAGCGCGTGGTTCTAAGAGCTAATGTACAGCTTCACATCATATAATACACAGGTTTTTCCTTGGTATTGTCCAGAGCTAATGATGATTATGGTAGAGTTAATATTTCTCGTCCTAAAGTTACATTTCGTAATCAGATTGATTTGGGAGGAAATAATCTCTAAAAATTCTGCTGGAAGAATGAGTATATTTTTAACCAAGTAGATATAGTTTAATAAATACCTACAGGACATGAGGTATTATGTTATGGTATGTACATGAATTACTAACTAACTCCAATACGAGGGCAGAACCTCTGGGAGTTTTTGCTGCTTCTCAAGCCCGAACTGTTTCCTCATGTTCTGTGGTCCTGGTGTCAGACACGTGTCTCCCAGCACTGGCCCCCTCAGACCTAGACGCAGAGGGCGACAGAGACTGCCCGGCTTCCACCTTCCTAGCTGTTTTCAAAGAAAAGCTGAACTTACTTGAGAACATGTTTACTGCTTCTCACCATAGAGAGATAGATCATAGGCAAAAATAATTAAAAATATAAAAAAGTTAAAGTTTATAGAATCTTAAAGAATTTTCATGGTCCTTGTTCTACTTTGACCCCCCACTCCCTTTAATTTCTTTTATTTTGAGGTATTTTTACAGATAACGTGCCCAGCCCAATGAATTTTTACATACATATGCACTCATGAAATCGCCTAGATCAACATACAGAACATTTTTAGACCCCCAGAAGGGTCCCTTGGCCCCCGTCCCAGCAGTATCCTGTCTCTACCCAGAAGTAACCACTATTCCGACTTCTGTGACCATAATATAGTTTTTCTCTGTGAACTGGGTTTCATAGAAATGGAATGGTATGGTGTGGAGTCTTCTGTGTCTGGCTTCTTTCATTCATCATTGTGCCTAACTCGCTGCTGACATGTTACATGGAAGCTACTTTGCACTGTCTTCTGCTCTTATTTCTGTGGATGGATCTCACCAGTTCTCCCCTTTGTTTCCACCCTTTCATTATTGAAAGCCTTACTCTGTTAAGGTTGGATTGAAGGCATTATAGTACCTTAGGCATCGCTTTGCCTGTCACCATAGTGGGGAGTCTTCCTTTTATAGAATGTCAGACTAGGAAACCTTGACTTCACTGAGGCATCCTACCAGAGCAAGTACCTTTGATCGTTCCCAGACAACAGTTTTATTGTGGACGTTTCTCAATAAAACAAGAAAACATCTTGTTTGTAGTAGGGATATTTGTTTTGAAGGTAAATTGAAATGTTAATATTGGGTTGTCGGAAAAGTCATGGCATATTTTTTCTGTTTTTCATTGCAAAAATGCGTCATGACTTTTCCAACAACCCAATAGTAACTTGATGGCAAAACAGGTCTGCCGGCCTCCAAAACCTGTTCTTTGTTATGCTACTAGAAAAGAATAGTGCGTTTCAGGTTAACCACTTTTGCTGTTTTATTAGCACTTGTAGTTGGGTTAAAATGGAAAGTAAAAATAACAGTGATAGTAGGACGTGGTAATTCTGGAATTTTGTTTTCTACTTTCTGGATTTAATACTGTGGATAATTGAAAGATGCTGAACCAAGAAGGAAGTGTGTTAAGGAGATGATAGGTGAGTTCCCTTTTGGTTAACTGGGTGTGAGGCTGCCTTCGGGGCCTCTCAGTGACTATTCCATGAGGCAGAGAAATCGGTGGTTTCTGCAGTTCAGAAGATTATGCTTTTCAGTCTCTCTTTTTCTTAAAGATTTACAATCTGATTTATTATGAGAAGGTTTATTCATGTCACTTTCCTGCAAGGTCTTTTGCAGGAAACACTCTCTCTACCACGAATTTAAGAGCCTCACTGGCTTTGACACACAGGAATGGATGGATTTGAGTCCTATGAAGTTGTGTGCATAAAACTTGCATTCATTTCTAAGGATTCAGTCAATGGTAGCTGCTGCTATAAAAATAATCATCACTTTAATGACTTATTGGCTTCCCAGTGCCTTCAGGAAAAATGCAAACTACTTGTTCTCTACAACTTGGCCAAAACCTCCCTCCCTT